AAGCCTAACAGTAGTACTATTTATCTGTTATTTGCAGTGGCGTAGCCATAAAATTGGCCAAGGGGGTGTTTATTCATATCAGAAAAAATCAACTATATATAATAGAAAAGTCAACATTAAACGAAAAAAAAAAAAATCGACGGCAGAATACTCAATATTTTTACAATTACATAATAATAGTTTGACTCACACCACTTATAACCAACAACAAAGAGATTTCATATTCAGAAAACATTGTCGAACACGTTCCTTATGCAAACTAGTACGCAACTCTTGTTCAATATATGTCACCAACTCATCGTTTATCCGATTTTGAATATAATTTTTTGTATATTCATGGGTGAAAATTATCTTCTCACACTTATAGTTGCAACATACAGATAATTGTTAACTTGAGAACTAAATAAATAGATAAATACGATTTGTGCTTATTTGTTTTCACTTTTTTCTAACTCGTCAACCCTTTGTAAGTTTTTAAACCTGCCATCCAATGGTAGATAAAATAATACATGAATTCAACTTATGACCGAGAAATATCATAAGATTTGGGATAATTGGTATGAATCGTACAAGTATCGAAGCGTGGTGGAAAGTCGATGATGTGTGTTGTTGAAGCGGGGTCTGATATTGAGCAGTTTGTTGCTGATGGTGGAAGTGAGGGGGGCCTTGGGTGAACATGTCATGTTCCTGAGTCGGGGCATAGCTTGACGACCCTCCGGTGCCCTCAGTACTAGTTGCCCACTCACAATGTGGCCATGGTTCAGGAAGTTGAGTTTGTTGAGACGGACGAAGCTCTTCAATGTTTTCTCTCACCCTTCTTCTGCTCCTCCGTGGGAGCTCTTGTGGGGGCACGATCCTCTCATCAGCACGGAATGAAGGTCGGGGCGGTGCAGGCATTGGAGGGTATAATACGACATCCCTCCTTTGCTCTCGGGTACAACAGAGCAGGTTGTTGAAAAGCCTGCGCAAAAAAGATGTCTTCCGCTCATCCATGGTGGGTGCACTCTCGACAGTGTGCTTGGCATGTTCCAAACCGTCAACCTAATAAATTATTGTACAAAATTAACTAACATTAAGACAAAGAGGCATCCTTAAATCTAACAAAGGCATGTAATCATACTTCCAAAATTTTAGACATGTAATCATACTTCCAAAAATTTAGACATTGTTGTACAAAATTAACTAACATAGGCATGTAATCATACTTAGGGATGGCAAATTACCCACCCATGGGTAATTATACCCAAACGCAAATAGACCCATTGATAATGGGTTGGGTATGGGTGAAGTGCATATGGATTTGGGGGTTTATAGATGGGTTTGGGTTTGGGGCTTCCATAATCTAAATGGGTATGGGTTGGATATGGATATCCATTTACTTGAAGGTGTTTTAACTACACATGCAAAAATTGGACCTATTTGCAAAACTTGAAAAGTTTAGGTACCAAAATGTAAGACCAAAAAAATTTAGGTACCAAAACGTAATTTTCCATCGATATTTTGAGGACTTATATGCAAAAAAATTAAATTTAGGTACTAAATATGCATGTCTATTAAGTTTGGGTACCAAACTGTAATTTGTATTTGGGCATGAGTACAAACCCAAATCCATTTGATATAAACTCAACTCAACCCAAAGTAAATGGGTATGTGTACAAACTCATCAAACTCTACCCATATCCATCTATTTGGATTTCATACCCAACCCAATTGGGTTGGATAGTAAGAAACCCATGGGTATGGGCAAAGTTGCCATCCCTAATCATACTTCCAAAAATTTAGACATGTAATCATACAAAAATTTAGACAATGTTGTACAAAATTAACTAACATAGGCATGTAATCATACTTCCAAAAATTAACACATGTAATCATACAAAAATTTAGACATTGTTGTACAAAATTAACTAACACAGGCATGTAATCATACTTCCAAAAATTAACTAATTAATTAACATTCTAGCTAATATAGGCATGTAATCATAATTCCAAAAATTTAGACAAAGAGGCCAAAATGGAGTTCACTTACCACTGTGCCCCAAACAGCACCTTGCTTTGACACCCATCTTAGCGTGAAATTTCGATACCATCGCATGTAGCCATCGTGGTACCCCATTGGCCTTGTCTCCGGCATCCCTTGGACCACCCACTGATTTCTATTCTCCCATATGTTGATGTAGAATTCATGCTTCTTTTGCTAATCCTTTTTGGTGTGGCGTAGGTCAATGGCGTGGAGCTCCCTGAACCCTTGAGGTGGGGATGCTGGAATTGGTTGCTCCAATCGATATTGCCTCAAAGATCGATCGGGCAGGTGCCATTCCACCATGTGGAAGCAGATTAAGGGCACCTTGCACAACCATGTCTCTTCATCCTCGGGATGTCTAAGACGATGCAACTCAACCACTTCATTTGGATATGGATCCCATACCGCCTACAATCATTATAGTTCATGGAATTAGTACAAATTATATCCACTCCACCTAAAAAATTGAAAATGATGAAATTTTATATTTTTACCTGGTTCCACCAAGGCTTATCGAATTCAGCACGATAAAACAGCAAAGAGTGTTCGGGCTGGTGGTCGTTTGTATTTGCTCCGATCCACCTAATTAAGCAAAAGTACGTATATAAGCAATTTTTATGGCATAGATGTTTACTTGTTAAGTATGATTGTATGGAAGCATCTAAATTGAACTAAAATTCCTTACTTGGAAATAATCTAAATTAGCTAAATACGATTTGGTTAGAATAAATCTAAATTTGCTAACTTGGAAGATATCTAAATTCACTAAAATACTATAATTGCAGACCTAAAATGTCACTAAATTTGCTTACTTGAAATATATCTAAGCTCACTAAAATTCACTAAAATTCACTAAATTCGCTTACTTGGAATAGATCTAAATTCACTAAAATTCACTAAATTCGCTTACTTGGAATAGATCTAAATTCACTAAAATACTACCATTGCATATCTAAAATAAATTAAACTTACTTGAAACCATATGGGGGATTTGCTACAAATCGTAGCTCATCATCTGGCAACCAGAATTCCCGAGGGTCTCGAGGTGCTAAAAACGGAAGATGCTCTCATGCCCAGAGTTGGAGTATGAACATCGCACCACCAGCTTGTTTCGCTCCCAACCTCGAGCAAGTACACAACTCTCGGTAGATCCCAGCCAAGACGGCCGACCCCCAACTTTTTTTCCCGATCTCATCCCAGTCACCGAGGAGCATATTTAACCACATGCCTTGTATCCACCGGTTTGACTTGTCGGGGAACAGAAACCCACCAACCAAACCAATTAGGTAGACACGTGCATACCGCTCCACCTGATCTTCAGGAGTGTCCGGGCCTATATTAACCTCCATTTGGATGTGCTCAACAAGCCACGGGACCGATACTTGCCCCGCATTCAGTGGTGGATGTCCAACCCCGTCGACGGGCGTGGTGGTCGGCATGTTGAACCGCAAACGCTCTTGAATCAACGGCCCCCAACCATCTTCCGGTTTTTTCGAGCTGTCGATGATGGCATCTCCGGTGATCGGGAGCCCGGTGAGGATGGCAACATCTTTGAGGGTGATCGTCATTTCACCCTCGGGAAAGTGGAAGGTATGCAGCTCGGGGCGCCATCGCTCTGCCATTGCCGTCAGCAGATCGTTGTCAATATCAAGCCTCGTAAAGTGCCTCAGCATGTGCAATCCCGTCCTCTCTATATAGGGCTGCAGTCGATCATGCCAACGGGGCAATCGACATGTCCCTCGATGAGCGATGGGAATAAGTGATTCCTACAAAATAAAAAACACAATATTATCAGTCAATAGAAAGCAAAATAAAAACTTTAAAACTATTGAAATAAATTTAGTGTGTCTACCGGATTATTGTTCCAAATTGAACGGGAGCGATGTTGATCTTGCCCAGTTAAATACCTTCGATCCCTTGGGCCAGGATCGATATACAATCGAGGGTCGTATATCTCAGCACCCATATATAAAAAAATATAAAATCAAATCAATTTAAATTTTAGCACCCATGTAAAAAAAATCACAAAAGAATAAAATTAATTTACGTACTCTCAAAGCCTCTTCGTCCATTTTTTGCCGAAAAGCTAGCGAGAGTATCGACAAAATAAAAACTCTAGTAATTCTTTCTGATGCGGAAGATCGGACTTAGCCGCAACCACAGAGCATACTTAGAACGAAACTAGAGGAAAGTAAAGGAGGGAGAAAGAAGTATAAGATTTTGGTGTGGTTTGGAATTGGGGGGGGGGGGGGAGAGAGTGGTATTTATAGGGGAAAGGGGCGCTGGAAATCTCACCAGCAACCAATCACCGCCTCGGATGAAGGCAGTGAAGTCACCGCGTTAAATGAACGCGGTGAAGGCGTGGATTGCTGACGTGGCGCGGCGTGAGGCGTCGGATCGTGGAGAAAAACCACAATCCGCGCCTCACTGCATCTAACGGCATCGGTGAAGGCGCGGGTGGCGCGGATCGCTGACGTGGAAAGCGGGGCTATCACCGCTTTAGTCATCAGCGGTGAAGTGCCCGCGCGCGTCCACGTCAGCGATCCGCGCCACTTCACCGCTTTTTATTTCAACGGTGAAGATCCCTTCATCGCGTCTGAAATCAACGGTCATTTATTCACCGTCATTAACTAAGGCGATGATGCCATCACTATTGTTCTCCACAGCGATGATAGCATCACCGTTTTGGACAAAAACGGTGATTGCCTTCATTGTCTTGGTTTGCAGCGGTGATAACCAAACTGCTGTATTTTGGAAAATATTTTCATAAGTACTGTATTTTGGGAATTTTTTTTTTAATAATTAGAGTATTTTGGGATTTTTTCCAGTCCATAATTTTGAAAAATATGTCCTTTTTACCCTTTAGCCCTGCACTCCACACTCCATCCTCTCCACTTCCATTTTACAGCAAAAATGGCAACTGGAATACGAAATCACTATTCAATTTGATCGACCTGGAAGGTAATAACTAAGCGATGGAGAACTTTACATATTATTTAGAAGAATCCAATGTACAACTACACAGATCTTTTTACATTTCATAACAATTAAACATATAAATTATATTAGAACAGGAACTTGGCTAAATAAACAAACAAAGTGCAGCGCCTAAAACCATGACGCAGGCAATAATAATGAAGGGAAGGTAAGGACACTAGATTGGACACTCTTGCTCTCTCCTCATCTTGGGATATAGTCATATAGATCGATCGATCCTCCAGTTCATCAGAACTCTTACCCTGATCACTTCACAGATGAGATTTTCATCCAATGGGCCGCAATGCTTACAGCACGAACTAGCCTTTCACCGCCTTCTGCTTCTTAAGCCCTTGGTCGGTGATGCTGATCTGCCTTTCATCGTCTTTTCGTCCAGGACTTAACCCTGAACACTGCATAAGCGGAATGAAAGGTGCCATGCCAACATGAGAATAGGAAAATGAAAAGAGTTCAGGATACAAGCCAAGGCGCAGTAGTGTTCCCTAAAAGGACCAAACTTCTAAAGTGATCAGAAAGGAAACGGATACAAGCACTGAAGCACCAAGTATGTATTTCTGCTACTAAACAAGAGACAGCTTCCTTTATTCTAACCATTAATGGACTAGTCTGTATGGTATGGTTGTCGGCACAATGATTTCTAAGGGAAACTTCCTTTCGGACTGAATTGTTTTCATTTAGCCAATTCCTAAATCCTAACAGAGATGCAAGCAAAGGAGGTACACATTTGTACAAGCATAATAAGTATATTATTACCAATCATTGATGGAAAGAGTTGCTGCTTCACTGCTGCTCTGTTGAACCCAGCAGCCATGGCTTCCATCATATATACCTCGGAGTTTCTCGTACCTTGGAATTGGAGTAGGCCAGCAAGAGACCCTAGGCTGGAATCTAGGTACAAACTGATCGAAGAACTCTAGTTCTCCCGTCTTCATATTGTAGGACACTATAACGCTATCCAAACGACCATAAACCCCAGGATGTTCAAAGAAGGCAATATGCGGCTTCTCTGGATGGAGAGAAACTATATTACAGTCCTCAAGTTCATAGTCGTACCTGCTTAATGTCCTTTCCAACAAGGTTTTATGCTGTACACTCCAGGTTTTACAGTCTTCTTCCAGTCTCCAAACACTCAAAACTGCAGGCCTGGCTGAAGGTTCACGTGAAATCAGGTGTAAAGCACCTTGCGAGACCGACATGTTCCAGTTCCCCTCGCCGAGTTGAGGAGCATCGAATAGTATGGGAGGTATGTCGAGGCGGAAAGGATTAAACCCAGCAATCACAAATGGATTAAGCCAATCAAGGCCGGAATTCATACACAACCAAAACAACCCTCCGTTGCACGATGTAGAAACTACATTAATATCAGACCATCTAAAATGCCCTTCAAGAACAAGAGGCTCCTTCATCCACTCTCCAGACTCCGAACAAAACACATCTATTCTTATCCGCTTGTTCAATTGATAAATGCACACCACCCGGAACCGATACGCCGAGGAGAAAACAAATGGTGGTCGGCCTTCTCCCACATCAAGTTTGACATTAGAACTACAACTACGGGGCTCACAAACTAACCTTGCCTCTTTTAATCCAATTGCCGGCGATGGGGTTTCGGGCGCTAAAGGAAGGGCGATCCATTGCTTCGTAAACGGATTGCACACGAAGAGAGACCTGCAGAATTCGTCACGAATTTCACTTCCCTCGTGAAATCCGCACAAAACCAAGTCCTTGTAGCAATCAAAAACTCGGAAATAAAGTGGTTCATAAGCTAATCCATCAGGCAGGGGGAGGAAGCTCAAAATTGATTCCCCGGAGTTGGAGGACATCAAAGGCGGTTCTTCGAGTTCGCCGCCGCCGTATTGGTTGGAGCTGCTCTGTTGGTGGTGAGAAACGTAGCGGCGAACGAAGTGGGTGTCGGAGATCAGAGAGTTCCAACGCTTGCAGACTGCTTTGCATCGCCAGGCGGATCCAGGTTCCGGGGCTCGAATCAAAACCTCTGCCAGGACATCGTCTCCGAGTTTACTGATCGGAGAATGAGGGGTTACTTCTTCTGAAACGTCGATCCGCCGGCGTTTCATGGACCGGCAAGGGCGGAGACCTAATCTTAGCTGTAGATCCAAAGCCGGAGAGAACGTGCAGTTCTCGGTCGCCATGGCGACGGTAGAATAACAGGATGGACACGAAGATTAGACTCGCCGCCGGCGAAGGAGAAAGGATGCGGTGGTTGATGGGAGCGAAGATGAGATCGGAAGTCCTGCTATTTGAATAAATGATGATTTGGGAATTCAAATCCCAAATCTAGCACGGATAATGATTAAGAACCGAGTTTTTTTTTAAAAAAAAACTTCGGATGAAAGTTTTGGGCCCCGATTGTAAACGTGGCCTATTTAATTCAAGGGCTGGGCCGTATTTATACACTCTCAAATCTTCAACCTCCAAACGGCCCGTGACGCTTTGCTCCTGTCGCCTCAATTAGTATTGGGTTTTGACTTTGTTTTATGGAGTCGTAGTATAGTTTAGCGCTACTGGTCGTACTTGGTGATCTTATTTTATACCAAAGCACAATCAAAGGGCACATTAAAGGCTGGCTACTACAATTCAAACTTAAATTAGTGAGCAGAAAATTAGCTTGCACCGGAAAAGGATTAAATTTGCTCGTTAAAGAACACATTCCTTTTGGGAACGAGCTTTTCTTAAGCCAGCAATTCAGAAACTTCCACCTCAACCTCGGCAAACAAGAGATAAATGACAATTCAAACACCCTCTTAATGATCAATCATCATCTAAACGTATTAAATCGGATGAATTATAGAATCATTGCTAGCATAAGTTCAGGCACTAATCTGCCTATCATTAAGTGCTTCAACCTTTTAATAGCTTCCTTTTTTACCCAACGGATACAGAGAGCTATTCACCATCCTCAATCGACCAAGTTACTCACGAGATCCCCTCCTCTTCTCTTCTCTAGCAAAAATTTCTACCCAAAGAAAAGTCTACCAACAATGGCAGCCCCGATTGAATTCAATGATGAAGTTCTCGAGGCAGGACTTACCAGAGCTGGTCTAAGCTTGGTTGGTCGATTGCTCTGCTCCAACCATCCCTCTCGAATCAGAGTTCAGCATATGGCCAATAACCTCTGGGCTAAAAGAGCTCCGGTGACTGTACTGGACGCAAAGCATGAGCTATTCCAGCTCGTCTTCTCAAGTCAAACCGACCGGCAAGAAGCTCTGAAGAAGGCTCCGTGGTTTATCGACTCCAAGATTTTCACCTTCAAAGAATGGGAGACGCCATCAGAGCGTCTATATCATGATCTCGCCCGAGTCCCATACCTGGTCCAGTTCTGGAATCTCCCAGAGGAGTACAGAACAGTCGCACTGGGAAGGTTGCTGGCTTCGCGTCTGGGCACAGTGGAGGAAGCTGGGATGTATGCAGTCTGGCAGTCGCCAGGATGTGTGTTCAAGGCCAAAATATTGATTGATGTCTCTGCTCCCCTTGAACACAAATTAGAAGCAAGAAAACGAGCTGCAGATGGTTCGGTAGGCGAGACCTTCCGGGTGAAGCTCAAGTACGAAAACCTCAAGGTGGTCTGCTTCAGATGCAGAAGAATCGGCCATAACCAGGAGAGCTGCTCCTTCGACCTGGTCACTGGAGATGACGGCTCCGGCCCTGAAATCTTTGGAAAGCGAACCGGATCAAGGTTGAATGAAAATTCAAACACATCGGTGAAAATGGAGAGGAAGAACTGGACGAGCAATGTATGGAGGAACGATGTTGGACCTGCTGCTCCGCCGCTTCCAAAACCTCTCCTCCTTGAAGGACCAAACCGTCGACAATCTTCCAATCGCCGAGGAAGGAGCCCCGGAAACCTATTTTCACAGTGGGCTGCGAAGTCTCAGGGGGAAAAGTCTCTCGAGGCTTGCGATCCCAGCCCTAATCCGAGGGCTCAAAACACCTCTCCCACCAGGCCAGATTTTGTTGTCAATGGGCCGAGCCTTAATGGGCCGAATCTGCAGTCAGAGAACCTGGGTGAAGGGCCCAGCAAGCATCAAACCGCACAAATCCAAGAGCCCATCAAAGAAAAGATAATGGTAATGTGTCATGAGGCAAATGATGTTCAACCTTTGCAGTTCTAAGCTGCCTCTCCATCATACGATCTAGGTAATCTATTTTGCAGTGAGGATCCTAGTTTTTTATTTGAAAATATGGGGGACTCTCACCTTCTTGTCATGCAAGATTTTGAGCTTGAACTAAACAAAACAGGCAACAAGGAAGTTTCCACCGACTCAGCACAATCATGTTCCCCAATTGGCCGCGTCACAGAAGGAGAGTCTAAGGGGAAAGCTATTATGATAGAGTCATCGGGATCACCAAAAGTCTACACAAGGAGAAACAATGGCATCATTATTCGAGAGCCAGAGGAAGACGTAGTGGAATCAGCCCCAAAACTTCCTAAAGTGATAGAAGATGAAAGGGTGGAGGAAGCCAACCCAAAGTGGCCCCAACCCGACAAATGAATGTCTACGCGTGGAACTGTCAAGGAGTAGGCAGCACCTTGACTTCCAAGACGCTCAAAGCATGTCGCAATATTGCCAATTCATTCTTGTTTTTGTGTGAAACTATGTCACCTAGTGATAAAGTCAGGTCCTTTATCTGTTCGTTAGGCTTTTCAGATTGTCATCCAGTTGACCCTTCCGGCATGTCGGGAGGCTTAGTCTTTGCTTGGCCACCATCAACCTCAGTTTCGATTCTGGGCTCATCCCCTTGCTATATTGCCATTTTAGTAATCAATAATAATAACCTTTGCTATGGAGAATGTCCTCGATTTGTCCTCATAGGGGTTTATCTATCCTATATAGTGACCAAGCGTCGAACTCAACTAGAGGAAATTGCTAATTTTTGTGCTCGCCTATCGGATCCATACCTAGTTATTGGAGATTTCAATAGCTCCTTATATCCTCTTGATAAGGCAGGAGGATCCCCATGGCGAATGGATAAAGCACGCCCACTGTGGGACTTTGTTAATCTGTTAGGGCTATTTGAACCAAATTCCCAAGGTCCCAAATTTACCTGGACAAACCGGGGAAGGAATGGAGTCACGATTGATCAAAAAATAGATAGAGCCTTCGTCTCTACAGCATGGATGAGCATTTGGCCTTCGACGACTATATATCACCTCACAGACGTAGGATCGGACCATAGGTTGCTTTTCTTACAAACAAATCCTACAATGCATAGAGCAAAAAGACTATTTCGATTCGATATCAGGTGGATTCAGATGCCGGAAGCCGAGCTAATTATCACTTATGCTTGGAATCTAGATGTAGCAGGCTCAATTCAATACTGCCTATTTAGTAAGCTTCTACGGACTAGGCATGCGTTGGTTGGTTGGTCTAAAGGAGGAACGTCTAACTCAGCGAGGTTAATAAATGATCTAAGTCGTGCACTAGAAGTGACTAGATCTAATTCTCCGATGAACTGGACCCTAGTCAAATCCTTGGAAAAAGAATTGAGTGTTCAATATAATCGGGAATAAATTTTTTGGAGGCAAAAATCTCGAACTAATTGGTTACAAGGTGGGATAAAAACACCGGGTATTTTCATATAGTCACTGCAGCCAAACGTCAAGCCAATACAATATGGGGACTGGACAATGCACAAGGGTCTTGGTGCACTGCAGAACATGAGAAACTGAACATTGCTGTGGACTACTATAAAGACCTTTTCCTAACACAATGTATGTCCGATTGACCTATCTCACCTCTCGGTAGAAAAAACAGTGGACGATATCCAGAATGAAAGTCTGATTGCTCCAATTTCCCAAGAAGAAATTAAGAAAGCGGTGTTCAGCATAGGCAAAACTCAAGCCCCAGGCCCTGATGGATTTACGGCAGGTTTTTACCAAAACTATTGGGAGCTAATCAATCAAGATGTGATTCAAGCAGTACTGGCTTTCTTCCACTCTGGGCATTTACTAAGATCCTTCAACCGTACTTGGATATCTTTGATCCCCAAGGTTAACAACGTAAGAACCATGAAAAACCTAAGACCTATAAGTCTTTGCGAAGTGATCTACAAAGTCATAGCTAAAATCTTAGCAGATAGGTTGAGTAGAGTGCTTCCCAAGATCATATCCCCAACACAGAACGGGTTCATCAAAGAGCGCCAAATCTCAGATAATATCCTAATCAGCCATGAAATGGTTCATCATCTCAAAACTTCAAAATCCAAGAAAAAAAGGTGGATGGCATTGAAACTAGATATGGAGAAAGCTTACGATCGAATAGAGTGGCCTTTCTTGTTCGAAATGATGAGGATTCTTGGTATACATCCTAGATTCATATCTTGGATAAAAGAGTGCGTCACTACAGTGTCATATTCGATTCTTATTAACGGCTCCCCATCAGAGTACATTAGACCCTCAAGAGGACTAAGACAAGGAGATCCCCTATTGTCTCTCCTTTTTGCTATCTGTGTCGAAGGATTTTCTAGCATGATTAGGAAAGCTACCTCAGTAGGATACCTTGAAGGAGTCAGAATCCGGCCTAGCTGCCCGGTAATTTCCCATCTTTTTTTCGCAGATGACTCATACCTATTCTTGTCAGCCTCACAGGAGTACTGTACGTCTCTCCTTTCCCTACTACGGGCTTATGAGGAGTTGAGCGGCCAACGAATAAACTTAAATAAATCAGTTGTCCTTTTCAGCCACAACACAGACCCTTCTCATGCTCAAATTATGGGTGCTCAATTGGGTGTTGGAACCATAGGAGAACACGACTCTTACCTAGGTCTACCAGCCATCTTATCTAAATCAAAGATGGATACATTCCAGTTCATGAAGGAGAAACTCATTAAGAAGTTGCAAGGGTGGAAACAACGTTCCCTTTCGAAAGCGGGGAAAGACATTCTTATTAGAACATCGGCCACTAATATACCAGTTTTAGGAATGTCATGTTTCAAGCTCCCCAAGGAAAACTGTAGACGATTAAACAACCATGTCGCAAATTTTTGGTGGGGTACGACTCAAAATTTAGATCACCCAATCCACTGGTTATCCTGGAAAAGCTTAGCTCACAGTAAGTTCCATGGAGGTCTTGGATTCAGGGACTTTGAAGCCTTCAATCAAGCATTGCTAGCCAAACAATGTTGGCGAATATGGACTAATCCAACTTCACTCCTTTCCCAGATTTATAAGGGTCGATACTTTACCCAATGTTCGGTGTTGGAAGCATCAATCGGATCAAACCCTTCGTGGGGGTGGAGAAGTCTACTCTTTGGAAGAGATCTGCTCCTCCAGGGATTAAGGTGGCAAATAGGCAATGGAAAAAGAACTCGGGCGTTCATTGATAGCTGGGTACCGGGGGATAAACCCCTAATCCCGATTACACGACCCCACATTCAAAATGGATCTCCTATGGTATCTTACTTTATAAAAGAAGGTCGAGGGGAATGGGACGTTCCAAAACTTCAAAATTGCTTTGAACCTCACTCTGTTGATCTCATAAGGAGAATTCCTCTCCCTCGTCTCTCGCAGCAAGACATTAGAGTGTGGCACTATTCCAAGGATGGTAAATATACAGTCAAATCAGGTTATCACTTAGCTTTGGAAAGAATATTAGCTCCAAGTGGAAAACCGATAGTGCAAATCATTGACCCCCCTATTTGGAAAAAGACTTGGAACATCCAAGTTCAGCCTAAACTCAAATTCTTCATATGGCAATGCCTCAAAGTCATACTCCCCACAGTAGTAGCCCTTCAATCTCATGGAGTTAATTGTTCTAACCGATGCCCTGTCTGCTGGAGACATCGAGAAAGTATCGAACATTTATTTTTCAGATGCCCCCTAGCCATCAGATTGTGGTCTTTAGTGGGATTGAGCAACTTTATTGAGACCGCCCAGACTGTTAATTTTAGTCTATGGTGGCGACATGTCATGGTCTCCGAGACCTCCCCATTCCACATTCTCCAATGCGTCTGTTTACTTTGGAGAATCTTGAAGTCTAGAAATGTGGTGACCTTTGAATTTACCCAACCTCATATCCATTCTTTAGGCAGACACTTCTACAACCAGGTCCTCGAATTTTCCAGCCTCCTTCCTCCCCCTCCTCCCCGCAGCTCCATCCTCCCATCCTTGTCCGCCTCTTCTTGGGTTCCTCCACCGGAAGGCTTTTTGAAGATCAATGTCGACGCAGCGGTTAGTGCCTCCGGATGCTCGTCTGGGCTTGTTTTCCGGGGCTCAGACGGGCATGTGAGGTTGGCGATCGGATTGCAGCATCAAGGAATAGTCAACCCTTATCTGGATGAGCTTCTTGCTTTCAGGGATGCTATCTCCTTTGTAGCCTCAAGTACCTTATCTCACGTGATAGTCGAAGGCGACTCTGAAGTGGTTGTCAACCAAGTCCGTCAAGGCATCTTAGAAGACTCGGTGGGTGGTTCGGTGCTTCGAGAGTGTCTCCAGATTCTTAGCTCTTTTTCTGCTTGTATAGAGGTTAGGGCGGTTCCTAGATCCGCCAACAGTGCTGCCCATAGAGTGGCGCGTAAACCACTGCTTTTGTCTCCTTTAGAGCTAGAATCTTTTGATTTCTTGGGGGTAGCTTCAGTAGAGTCGTTTTGGGGTCCTGGGTAGAATTGTAAGCTTAACTATTTCTTCTCATTGATATCACTCAGAAAAAAAAGAGCGATCGTAATGACAAAAAAAATTTTCAAATGAATTTATATAGAGTTTTTATTTATTTATTATAATTTATATAGAGTTAGCACCATACTAACTAGCTTCTAAATCATTCACCCATATTTTAGATCGAATGATTTTTTTTAATAAAGATTGAATGATTATTATTAACAGAGAACAAACTAAGAAAATAACAAATTTTTATAAAGTGGAAGTTAATGCTTTTCAAAGATAAAAATATAGTTTATTTCTCTCATTTCTTACTCAAACACATCTCTCTAGTGTAGTATAATCCTTTCTCTGGAAGAAACTACTACATCGGGAAGCATTACTAAAAATTGCTACTAAAATATTCTTAAGGCCAATATCACCTCTTCTATTTCAGGTTTGTAGTGGTGATTTGATGCATGGCGTATTGATTTTGTGGTTTATTAGTAGTGCTTTGATAATTATTTAGTAGAAACATTTGTTGGATCTCGTGTATCTCTCTAGCATGATGTGTGGATTAAGGGAAGACTGCTTGTTGATGATTTTCCGAGGGTCGCGGCTGCGGTTGTGTTGCCTAACTGCCGGGTTTCTGATGCTATTAACTTTTCAGAGGGGAGAGTTTCTTGGGATATTCCTCTTCGATTTACCTTGAGGGGAGGAGCAGAGAGAGAGAGAGAGTTTCACTTTTGAATCTGCTTAATGGATTATCAATTGACAATTTCTGTGCAGGCCCTTCTAGACTTGTTTGGAGTCCTTCTCCAATCACAGGATTCACCGCTCGCTCATTCTATGGCGAGTACATCAAGGAGAAGTTTCCTGGCTCATCCTCTTTTCCCTACAGAGTCGTGTGGCAGCCTGCGGTTCCTCCGAAATTCTGTGTGTTTTTGTGGATAGTGTTCCAAAAGAAGATCCTTACTCAGGATGTCCTCAAGGGGACGGGTTGGGCTCTCCCGAGTCGATGCGTGTTGTGTGGTGATCAGGAGGAAACAATCGATCATATATTCCTTCTTTGCAGGTTCTCCAAGGAGGTTTGGCGGATTCTGTCACCCTTCGTCGAGCTCAAGCCCACTAGTACTGACATCACGGAGATGATAAGAAGGTGGCCTAGCCGACAGCCGTCCAATTCCAAGGAGTGGTGCACGATGGTTTCTCTTCATGCTTTTTGTTGGCGTATCTAGTTAGAGCGGAATTCCCGAATTTTCAAGGAAGAGTTCGTCTTAGGTCAAGTTGGTGTTTACCGGATTGCTTACAGTATTGCCGAATGGTTGGGTGCTGCGCAAAAGGTTGGTAGGGAGGAAGCGAGCTGCTAGTTGCAAAATATCAAGTTTCGCCTGTTTCCCAGGAATTTTGAACCTCCCGCTTTGCCTCCGGTTGGAGCTGAGATTAGAGACCGTGAGGACGCCGATGTGCCTTGCTAAGCTTCTGCTCCTGTGTTTGTGTTGACTTCTGTCAGTGACTGGGCTTTGTGGCGAGGTTGGTCGCTGAAAGGACTTTGGGAGTTTCAAGGTTCAGGAGTTTGAGAGCTCTTTCTTTTTTCAGATACTTTTTGTTGGTGCATTTTATTTTGTTGGTGCACTTGGAGGGTAGTTATGTGCAGCAGTTTGTGCTGAGTTTTTTTTTTTTTAGTTTGTTGGTTGTGTTTTCAAACTCTTTTTCTTCAATCTTTTCCCGTTATTAATATTATTTCACCCTTATAAAAAAATTATTTAGTAGAAACAGTACTATTATACTTATTAATAATCATAAATCACTCCTAATATATAATAAGCAAAACTATTATCCTCTAATCCATAATTGCATGATCCATAAAATCGCTACAAAAAAATCATTAGTATTACCATCATATAGATAAAAAAAACCGTGTACATATAAAATCACTACTAATACATCGATGCATTACAATTCTCGGCAGCTATATTATCATTATTATTATTAGTTTTAGTTATTGTTTAGGAATCGTCTTAATTATTAAAGTATTTAAGGTAGTTACTTTAGGATTAAGTTACCGAGTCCTTGTAGGATTCGTCAGAGATTAGGTTTTCCGGTTCTACTATAATATGTACTTGGTTTCTACGTTTTAATCATCAATCAAAGAATAATAAATTTGTATTTTAGTTTATTTTAGTTTTAGTTCGTACGATTACGGGATGGACGAACCGATCGTCCATCAATTGGTATCAGAGCCTGGTTCGACGGAACCGAGCTCTTACCAGCTCCCAAGGCAGACATCGCCAATGTTCGACCACAAACGTTGGGAAGAGGTCCGGCGAGCCACCGCCGCCGCCATCACGTTCCGCTGCAACAAGGTGGGTACGCAACCACCTTCTGCAGAACACTACGGGAAACCTTCGACCGGCGAAGGTAAGGGCGACCCCGCGAACCCTTTGACCGCCAAAGGGTGGGACGACGCCACAACGACCCCGGATGACGAAACCCTAACCGATAGGGATGGGGTTCTTACAAAGAGTGGATCGCCGACCGAGGCGCCACTAAAGACGGAGCTAACCGTAGCTCCATCATCATCAACCGCCGCCCACGAGAAGCTAACCGTAGCTTCGCCATCATCGACCGCTGCCGTAGTCAAGGAGGGAGGTTTCCGCAGGCAACTCCGCGAGATGAACGAGCGCATCGACGGGCTCGATCAACAGTTGCGCGAGGAAGCAGCGGAGCGGGGTTAGCTCCGATCCGACATCCAACTTCTCAAGGACTGACGGAAGGGCCTCCAAGTCGAAGTTCAGCAATTACGCAAGGAGCTGCAGCAGGGTATGGAGCGCATGGGCGATGCGATACGGAAAGAGTGGCGACGAGACCTCGAACAGTTTGGGAACGCACTGCAAAATGATCGGAAGGCGTTCCTACGACGGATTGAGGAACTTCTCGCACGTCGCTACGGACGGGTCGGCCAAGTTAACGTCGAGAGCTCCGAACCCGACTCAGAATCATACGACGGTGACGACTCGAGTGATGACGAGAAGCAATCGGCGTCCTTCGAGTCGATGGCAGCTTTGGGGGAAGGAGTAGCTTGTGAAGTGAACGAGGGGAAGAAGAACGAGCTAACCGTAGCCTCGACTTCCGCAAGTGTAGCGTTCGCTGCTGCTTTGCTAACGGAGTTCCTCCCGGTAAGTTTCGCTACCGTCGTTACCACTGAAGAAGGCTTCACGAGTAAGCCATTGATCAACGTGGAGCTGGTTCCAGCGCCGAGAGCATCGTTCACCACCATTGGTTTTGTCTCGATGGAAGCCTTGGGTCAAGGTTTGAGAGGAAGTTCAAGGTTGCAACCGAAGTGCTACTTTCCCAAGAGTTCTTTGCAAACCTGGATCGCTCTTCTATGCATCGATGGGAAGAGGATGGTGGTCTGCTTCAAATGGTGCGATAATGGGATGGAGGTATCTAATGATTTATTATTATTTGAAGTTGGGTCATGGCAACCATTAAGTGGCAATTGGAAGTATGCCAAAGGACAAGGGGATGGAGTACGTGGGACCATAGAAGTAACCATATTGCATGGGGAGCATGGAAGGGTCGGTTTGGAAGAGGAGTGTCCTAGCTTCTCGTCGTCGATTGATGGAGTTGATTTTGTGGGAGTAAGCCATCCACTCGCTCTCGAGATGAGGACCGCGTTTGTAGAGGATATCGACGTTGGAATTGTTCGAGTGCCCGAGCCCAATTGGAAGTTCCGTAAACGAGGTCGACATTAACAAACATCTGTTTCCTTCGCTATCGTGAACAACTTTTTCATCGATCCGGGTTAAGACGACGCTTGAACTTCGAGGACGAAGTTCTTCGAAAGGGGGAGTATTGATGCATTACAATTCTCGGCAGCTATATTATCATCATTATTATTTAGTTTTAGTTATTGTTTAGGAATCGTCTTAATTATTAAAGTATTTAAGGTAGTTACTTTATGATTAGGTTACGAGTCCTTGTAGGATTCATCAGAGATTAGGTTTTCCGGTTCTACTATAAATATGTACTTGGTTTCTACGTTTTAATAATCAATCAAAGAAGAATAAATCAGTATTTCAGTTTATTTTAGTTTTAGTTCGTACGATTAATAAATAACAGAAGTGCTAACAAAACAAATTTTTCAAAGCTTCCTTTCCTTCCTGTTCCAAACTACACAAAAAAAAAATGAGGCAAACAAATATGCCCAAACATTCCCTTATTTTCTTTAATCGATGTGGTCCGCCTGCCCGACGGACTTCTTGAGTGTTTTATTTATGGCATGAAACAACCCGAAGCATGAGTCTAGCTCATTTAGAATTTTCAGAAAACCCCACATGAAGATATTTCATTTTTCGCTCATGAGTTATGTCCCAAACTGAACCGAAAATGGGGAAAACAAATATGTCCAAATCTTGCTTTACTTCCTTCCGTTCATGTCCCAAACGGAATCAAAATGGGGATTAAATGCACCAGTTGTCAGTCACTTTAGCATAGCGTATGTTGCACGTTCATCACCTAACTTATTTTTATTTCAACTTAAAGTTATACGGAATAAAAGAAAAATCGTGACTTTCAAATTTTTTAGCACAAACTTATGAACGTCCAGAGTTTGGCTAAATCGAAAAGGTGTTCGTTCGAGGTAGCAAACAACGTTTTTTTCAAGACGAAGGCTGGCAGTTTGCGGCTTGCAAGATCTCGAAAAGTTATGCCGGGATAAAAATAATTGCTACGATCAAATACCCAAGCAAAATATTACGTTCGTTTGATGTTTCGGCCTATATTAAGCATTGATCGAGAAAAAAAAATTCATGCAAATTGCCGGGTGGGGGAGGAGGGGAGGGGTTACACGTTATCCGCGTCTTCCCCGCGGTTTATCAGAATGCACCGACACCAAGCGGTCTTTTGGCAACAAGAAGGTGGCGTGGCGGTTTTCACCTTAACCGCCGGTTGGGGTGACAGTTTATGGGAAAGGGTGATATTTTTAGGAATTTTTGGATTGATGGTATTTTTGGAAAAAAAAATTTGCGTGGCATAGTTGAAAATTTTCCTTTTTTTTCTTAAGAAGGAAGTAGGAAGAAGGGGACGGGATACGGTGACAACCCCTAAGGGGGTTGTCAGATTGACAACCAAGGATATTTTGGGTATGAAAAAAATAAATATATTAATTACCTTTTTTGTATTAGTCAGATTGGGAATTAAAAACCCATATTAAATATAATTTTTTTAATTTAAATCCTATACATTAATATCTCTATCTATCTGTCTCTTCCTGTCTCCTGCGGCCACTTCGCTTCCATGGACATACTTTTTCTTCGGCGAATTCTCTCCGACAGACTCCCTCCGGCAACCTGAAAAAATGTACCAGTGCATTAAAAAGTGTACCAATCCATTAGTCTACTGGTAATTAATATACCAGTGCTAGTGGTACGCTACTAGTGCGTTAAAAAATGTACTGGTGCTAGTGGTACGCTACCATTACTAGTGGTACGGTACCATTACCACTTGTAGCGGTACCATTAGCAGTACCAGTACCACTGGTAGCGGTATCATTGCCACTGGTAGCGTACCACTAGAGCCTAGCACAAAAAATCAGATCTGAAATATGAAAAACCGCAAATCTGGAAAAAAAATCAGGGATGACGAAAGGGGGAGGCAGGGGAGAGGCAGTGACCTCGTGGCGACGGTGGTGGGGGGAGACAGAGGGCGGCGGGAGGGTTGCGACGACGGTGGTGGTGGGAGGAGGAGGCCACGATGGCTGCGAGGCGGTGGTGGGAGGAGTAGGCCGCGATGGCTGCGGGACGAGGGACGTGACAGTGCTGGGAGGCGGAGGACGCGACGACGGGAGGGCTGCAGTAGTGATGAGAGGCGGAGGGCGTGGTGGGTCGGTAGGACGGCTGCGACGACGGTGGTGGCAGCCGATAGAGAGAGAGGGAAGAGATGGGAGGAAGAAGAAGAAGAATAGGAAGAAGAAAGATGGCGTGAGAGAGAGAGGAAAGAGAGAAAGTAGGGTTTTAGGTATTAATAGGGGTAATAATCTAGTGTGGTCAATTTTTTCGTCCAAAAATACCATTAATCCCATATGTACCATTGATTTGAAAAAAAGAAGAAAGAGACAAGAAAGAGAATGGATCCTATGGTTATAAAATAGGTTGTCAATCTCACAACCCCTAATGGGGTTGTCACCGTATCTCATCCCAGGAAGAAGGGGATGCAGCCAGGGAATGGAATGGAAGGCAGAGAAACGTTTTTTCGTAAGTGTTAAATGCAAATGATGTAAACGGAATAATTGCAAATGATGTAGAAGAGAATCCAAAACACCCTTTCCCTAATTACAACCGTACGATTCTACTGCTCTATCAATGACTAAGAAAAGAGTGGTGATATTCATAACCCCTTAGCAGTTGTGATGTAACCCTTATTGTTTGGTATAAATAAATTGTATAAGCGTTGAGTAATTCATTTTGAAATGAAAATTTATGTGTTTGGTATTTAAAAGTATTTGTGTCACGTTAATTCACGCCTTCCAGTTATGCGCCTTATATCTTTCCTCTCGGACAGGGCTACACACCTCCTTCATGCACACACGGGCGCACAACGAACCCCTTTGGGGCTCGTTAGCACTCCGACGAACAAGTTAGAACTAAGGCTTTAGAGAGAGAAGTGGAGAATAGTTTTTAGTGAGAGAATCCAACCTGAGTAAATGAGCTCCATCAACTCTACTATTTATACTCGGAGCCTTGCCGTCCGTTGCCCCCCAAATCTGCCCTACGTCATCACCTAATTAAATGCACTGTAACTTCATCCTGTCAGGCGCCTAGACCGTCTGACACCGTGCCTAGAGTCCTAAGGTGCATGACTTCACTCGTTAATCCCTCCATACGCTTCCGACCGTTATCTCTTTTTGTCCACATGCGCTTTATGTCAGGTCCGGCCCCACTCCCTAGGTCTGTTCTCATGCCCCCATTAGGATAGGCCTTCCCTTTGTTGGGCCTATGCTTTAGGCCCAGTTCGATCTTTTGGGCCTCTCCACTGGGCCTTTCCATGCCCCCAACAAAAAGAATTCATTTTCAATTCTAAATTTTGAATTCTACGGAACTGGAACTAATTATAGCAATTCCTAGGAATTGAGATGAAATTTCGAAATGAATTATACAAGTATGTACTAATCATAATAAAATGGCATAATTATCCTCATTTATTAACTAAATTACTTCTACATGTATTATTTGGCATCAACTCAGCAGTATGAGGAACGTCGACAAGAATTTGACGGCAACGCCATTAGCAGATGTTGGTTATTTGATATTACTGCTTCAATTGTATCAGTACGTTGAGAAGACACAATTAGACTGTAGGGTTCATCGACGAAATATTTAAAAAGAACTAATGAATAGAATAGAAACACACAAGAACACTTTCGATATTCTGCTTATGAGAGCAAAAACATTTTTAGAAGTGTTGAAAATATAAGTACCATAATGTAATTGTGCATATTAAGTCCTTAGTCTTTAAGGTTTGGTAATCCTCTATATATATATATATGTAAATGGCTCGTGTATGCTGTGTAACATGAATAATAAGATTGACTTGGAGGGCTTGCTCTCCTGTGGACTAGTCATGTTGATCATGGAAATCACATTAAACTCGGTGTTCTTGTTCTATTGTTTGATTTTGACATTGTATCAGAGCCGCTCTGATTCAAGGGCTGATTATTTCTTCTTCGGCAAGGTTTGTGATCTCGGTTTGGCAACTAGGGTTTCTATTTGGGTTTCGCATTTGGTGGCTGGCGATCGTTCCTCCTCAGCGTTGGCTTTCTCGACTTTGATAGGTGTGTTACCCTTAGGTTTGTGCTTTGGTATTGCTTGCTTCTTGATTTGGCTGCTAAGGATGAGTTCTCAGAAATAAGACAGTGTTTCAGTTAAGTTTGATGGAAAGAATTTTTTATTATGGGAGTTTCACTTCAGAAACTTTGTGGAAGGGCGGCGGCTGTCCACGATTTTGATAGGAGAATGGAAGAAACAGACTGACACCGCCGATGATTTTGACAAGAAGATGGAATATAACGAATATTGTTTATGCAGGAAATTAATAAGGGTGTAGTCGATTTTTTTTTTTTGTTTAATTCAATTCTAAATGTCTGCCAAACATGGTTTGGGAATTGAATTCATTTTATTTCTAAAGATTTGAATATGACATACTAAACACAAGAATTCATTTGACAATGAGTTCTACATGGTAACTAGTTTTTTACCCGCCCGTTGGGCGGTGTATTTTGTTTGGTTATTTTATATTCGTTATAGTATTCTAATTGTTATTATTATATATATTTGTTAAGGTAATATACATGGAATTGTAAATCCCATTTACCTTATTTCATATATTGTTTCATACCTTTATACCTTTTGTTTATTTATGAACATTTTAATTTTATTAACTGAGCTCTTTGTAGACTGTTCTTTATTGATTTAGAATTTTTTTTTTCTAACTCACCCTTTAAGATTATAAACATAAGAGTTATTCATTTTTAGCACACAATTGTGATAAAGAAGTTAAAAAATTTACAGCCATAAAAGAAGAAGTTAGAATAAGAAGATATGCTTCAATTATTAAAAAAAAAGTGAAGAGCTTTTTTTCCCTCTTCCTTCTTATATGTCTGTATATGATAATAGAGAATATTCCGATCTAAATCCCATGAATATCGTGTATTATCACTTACACATACAATTTTGAAATAATACGGAAACTCATTAGC